TTAAAATATGCGAAAAGACACATGAACCAAATAATATTTAGTTCATGTGTCTTTTCCAGTATCACCGATATATTACATGTATATCGGTGATACTGGATCATACCGAATCCGTCTGAAACCAAAAACTGGATTAAAGGCGGTTTTTAAACCCATAATTTAAGGCGTGGATATCCGGTTGCAACTGCAAATCCTGATGCATTTCGGTTGCAACTAAAGGTCACTAATACTCATGCCTTCCAGTCGACTTCGCTTCTTGTGCAAGTGCTATTAGTCTCAATTCTCAACTCGAATCTTCAGTGATCGCTTTTTCATTTTTGTTTCTACTCACTATCCAGCTCTTTATACGACTGGAGAACATCAGTGCCGTCTACTACGAGAATTTCGTTCCGCACTCCGACTTCGACGTCGCCTTGAGTGCCGCGACGAGCGATGTTTATCCGACTTTCGGTCTTTTTTGTCCTTTTTCTTGTCCTTATCGTCTCGCGACGAGCGGTGTTTGTGGTGTTTCTTATGTTTTTTGCGCTTCTTCTTTTCTTCCTCTTTCCATCGTTTAGCTTCTCGAACGGAGACATTGTCAACACTCCCGGATCTCTTCCTGCCTCGCGTATCCTCATTTCTTTCCTTCTTCACCGGATAAACTCGAATCCTCTGAGCTCAATTGACGTCGTTGACCTTCAACTGAGTTACGCGTCAACAATAAAGTCTTCGAAGTTGATCTAGCTGGATTTTCCAGTTGTTTCGCTTCAACTTGCACCTCATTGCGTTCTTCATCGTCACTTTCGTCTTCGCTGTCATCCTCACTGAGTTCCGACTCGTCCGAAGGTTCAAAAATGGATTTGAGCAAGTCTGTCGAAGCCTTTTCAACTGTTGGCAGTGCAGGTAGATCTCTGTCCTCATTGGACTCGACCGCTATTGTAAACTTCGAGCTCTCACCTGCACTAGCCTTTGACTGCCGTTGAGCAGCTCGATCGGCTGCAAATTCCATCAAATGCGGAACAATCTCCTTATCAAACAAGTCTGGCTTTTTATCGTCTTCATCACCCTTTCCGCTAGATCCTGTGGGTCCGGCACACTTAACGTGGAAGCGTTTGCACAGAAGTGACTTGGGAATCCACAAACTCTGCGACCTCCGCGACAGCGTAGCTTGAGGTTGTTCAGGAATAATTGCGTCATTTTTATCCTCGTCCAAAGTCGATTTTGACGACACAAATCTCTTTGCAATAGACGCAGAGATAGTAGCCCGAAACCCGACAGTCATTGGTGAAAGGCAGTGGTGGAGGTCATCACCACTGCCTTTCTTCAAGGGTTGTCGGGTATTTAGAGTTGTCACAGCGTCAACCTGATCTTCGTCGGCAAAGCGGTGATATGCCTTGAAGTCTGACGGTACAGAGAGACGCAAGTTCACTGCCTTGGGTGGCTTCTCCTTGGAGACCGCCAGCTCGAAGCCAGGCAGCACAACACGTCCATCTGAGCACAACTCTCGGCTGCGTCTCGTCTTTTCATACCGACGAGACTCTTGTGCCGATGAATCCAGTCGGTTAGCTTCTTTCCTAGCTCCAAGCGGAGCAATAACTCGGGAAAAATGGGGACATACACACGTCCCGTACACATCAATAAGCATCGTATTTCATTCAAGGGCACTGAGGGAATAAATAGTGTGCCGTCGATGACGGCGGCCGTCGGCTTTCAAGGCGGCGATGAACGCACCTTTTGACGATGAAAGCGCTTCTGTCGCCTTACAGTATTTTCTTCC